TCTGTGCACGCTTCTTGCTACATAACTGTCTTTTCTCATGTTTAGTAATAAAATGAAATTTTTAGGGAACAATCTCTCTCCTTACCTCTGATATCTATGCTACAAATTAGTTCTACATAAAATGTGCTAATTAAAAAATTATCTGTACTGTAGAATCACACTTGAAACAATACGTTAAAGGTAAGTTCGTTTTAGACTCAGCAGAAGCAGTTGACAGTGTATAACTCCGTTCGCCTCTACACAGTTCCGTCCTTATTTCAGACATCGTGTTCTCTCGGTATACCACGATGTTTAGCTGCTGACATATCACGATGTTGAAAACCAGACAAAGCCCAGCCCTCGTTTCAGCCCTTTTCATTTCTAACCTCTGTTTATGTAGGATGCTCATTTCAGCCGGTCAATCTTCATGCCTTTTCAAGTCACAGAACCTGATATATTATATAATACATTGCCTGTAGTAGGACCTGTTTTTCTTGTAGGGTATATTCCTCCTGCCCTACCGTACTTAACGCTGTTTCCAGTCCATTATTTCCGTTCTCTTTTTTACATACTGTTATGCGTTTCAGACCTTAAAAAATCCCAAATGCACATCTTGTGGTAGAACCTTATAATTGCCTAGAGACTTGTACAAAAAGGTAGAATTTAACCTCTGAACTTTATTGTGGTTCTTCTAATGATGGTTTTGGATAAATGCAGCTACCCTTTACCTTTCAGATTGCAAGGGCTTCTGCTTTGTTACCTCAGGAGGGCCATTTCTTTATCTCACTTTAACCAACATGCCCCTCACATAGAGGGCAGTGAAGGTCCTGTGTGAGTGCCTGAAGGCGATTGGAGGATGGATGGCAGCTAACAGATTGAGGTTGAATCCTGACAAGACAGAAGTAGTTTTTGGGGGACAGGGGGTGGGTGGGGATGGGGGACTCCCTAGTCCTGAACAGGGTAACTATGCCCCTGAAAGACCAGGTGTGCAGTCTGGGAGTCATTTTGGAATCACAGCTGTCCATAGAGGCGAAGGTCAATTCTGTGTCCAGGGCAGCTGTCTACCAGCTCCATCTGGTACGCAGGCTGAGACCCTACTTGTCCACAGACTGTCTCGCCAGAGTGGTGCATGCCCTGATTATCTCCTGCCTGGACTACTGCAATGCGCTCTACCTTTGAAGGTGACTCGGAAACTGCAATTAATCCAGAATGTGGCAGCTAGACTGGTGACTGGGAGTGGCCGTCAGACCATATAACACTGGTCCTAAACGATCTTCACTGGCTCTCAGGACGTTTCTGAGCACAATTCAAAGTGTTGGTGCTGACCTATGAAGCCCTAAATGGCCTCGGCCCATTATACCTGAAGAAGCATCTTCATCCCCATCGCTCAATCTGGACATTAAAGTCCTCCTTCAAGGGTCTTATGCTGGTTCCTTCACTGTGAGAAGTTACAGGAAACCAGGCAGAGGGCTTTCTCAGTAGTGGCACCTTCCCTGTGGAACACCCTCCCTTTAGATGTCAAGGAAATAAACAACTACAGTATCTGAATTTTGGAAGACATTTGAAGGCAACATTTGAAGTTTTTAAGGATGTTTTTATTATGATTTTAAATATGTTGTAAGCTGTCCAGAGTGGCTGGGGAAACCCAGCCAGATGGGCGGTGTATAAAACCACCACCACCACCTCTTGCTATGGGCATAGCCAGGATTTATGTTAGTGGGGCTGGATTTATGGGGTGGGGGCAGCACTGAGCATTCTGTGACATGGTTGGTCCATTGGTTAAGTATCCGTTTCTATTTGCTTGATTGGGGGGGCACTGTTCCTCTGCCCCCTTTGGCTACATCCATGCCCACTGCATTGTGGGATTGCTTCTGGAGAAGAGAAGCAAAGAAGTAAAACCTGCAGAAGTCCAGAGTGGGGTCCTTTAGGCACAGTGTTATAAATGGAGATATTAAAGGTAGGGGCTAAATGGCACCTTAATCCTAGGTTAAGGACACAAAAATGGAATGTCTTGACACACTTTGTTATAACAAGAATACAAAGCTGAAAATGAATGAACTGCAACTAAAATATTAACTAAAATCATTTTGCCTCAGCCTTACTCTGATTCACTACCTAATGTGACAAGAACAGAAGCAAGCGGCAGGGGTGAGGTGTATGCAGCTTCATTTATGAACCATGGCTCCACTATTTATTCTGCTGCAAGGATATGTGACTCATTGGTTTTGCCAGGGCAGATGCTGGAGGGAGAAATCTGAGGCCCCTCTGAGCTGAATGTGGAGGATCCAAGAGCCCTCCCATTTCCTTCCCAAGGCATAGTAAGCTTCCCCAAGCGAGGCGCTTTGCTCTGCCGCAGTGCGGTATTTGAGAGCGGTGACGGCAGTTTCTCTGCACAGGGCGTGCCTAGCTGAAGTAGTACACAATTAAGAAGATCCACTTGAGGGCACCATACAGGCTTCTCACAGGGAGCCATTTTATGTAACGTTACAAAGTCCGTCCATTTTGTGTGGCTTTTGGAATACTGTGCAAGGGCTCTGAGATTACCAGAGCCCTGCATCCCCTTCCTCATACCGGAAGTTATGTAAGCACTTGACCAACTTTGGAAAGGAGGGAAGGGCTCTGGGATGCTGCCAGAGCCCTGACACATAAACATTATGCAAAGGCAGCTTTTCAGCTTGGAAGCGGCTCCTAGTTCTGTTTAAAAGAAACTTGGGTCACGTACTTCAGAGCTTAGGGGTGGGGAAGTCTCCTCTTTTGTTTAAGTCTCTTTCTTCTCTTCTCCCCTTCTTTATGTGTATGCGTGTGGGGGGGGTTGTGTCTCCTTCATGTCACATGATGGGCGTTTCATGTTTAGTAATACTGTACAATTAAATTTGTGGGAACAATCTCTCACCTTTCATTTTATATCTATGCTACTAATTACTTCTACAGCTTTATTTTTAGAGGAAATGTATGAATGTCAAAATTATCTGTACTATAGAATCACAGTTGTAATAATATATTAAAGGTAAGTAAAAATTTAGACCCCTAAGCAGTAGCAGATGGCACGACATATGCCTTGTTCGCCTCTACGTAGTTTCATCGTTATTTCAGACACTGAGTCATCTTGGTAAACTGTAATGTTTACCTGGTGACATATCACGATTTTGAAAACCACCCATAGCCTACTTGCAGCCCTTTTCTTTTCTAACCTATGTTTATGTAGGATGCTTATTTTAGTCTGTTAATCTCCATAACTTTCAAGTAGCCAAACCTTATAAATGATATAATAGTTGCCATAGGACCTGCTCCCATTGTAGGGTATATTCCTCCTGAGGTAGTAAACACTGTTTCTTGTTCATTATTCCTGTTCTCATGATTAATAGTGCTATGCTATTTCAGTCCTTTAAAAAAATCTCATATGCTCTTCTAGTGGTCCAATCCTAGAATTGCATGGACCAGTGGTTTTCAACCAGTGTGCTGTGGCACCCTGGGGTGCCTTGAATGATGGTTAGTGATGCCGTGGGCAACACTGGCCTCTTCCCTCTTTCATTCCCTCTCTCCTCTGATGCCCTCTTGCATCTCTTTCTCTCAAAGGCTTGCACAGCTGTTTGTTGTAGCAGGCTTGCTACTGCCACTGTTGCCTTCCAAGGTAAGGTGCTTGCCTCACATTCACCTTTGGCCAGTCTCCATCAGGCCACTAAGGCTGGGAACATCCTCTGCCCAGGCCCCTGTGGAAAGGTGTGAAGAGGCACCACTCTTTGGGGTGGGATGAGGGAGCTCAGAGACCAGGGGCAGCAGCAGTGGCTACCCAGAGGACTCCCAAGGAGATGTGAGGTGAGGTGAGAGGAGGCTGAGGGAATACTCCACAAGGGAGATGTTAAAAAAAAAGGCTGCCAGCTCTGAAGGCAAGGGGTGACATAACTGGGCCCCTGAGCCCCAAAGGGATGTCGCAGAAAGAATGTAGTTGGTCAAGGGAGCCATGGTCTCAGAAAGGTTGGAAACCTCTGGCATAAACACTTCCATGTACAAAAAGGTATGGTTGAACCTCTGCACTTAATTGTGGTTCCTGTAATGATTGTTTCTGAGAAATTAAGTCGCCCTTTGGCTTTCAGATTTTAAAGCCTTCTGTTTTTTTACCTCAGGAAGCCACCCCATTATGTCACTTTAACTGACAACTATTTATTTGCTTGTGAAGATGGGAGAATCCATACCAGCTGCCATGGGTATAGCTGGGATTGAAGTTAGGGGGGCATGACATATGTTTTGGGGGGCAGAACTGAGCTATCGGCAATGTGATTGGCCAATTAGTAAAGTTTTCTTTATTTACTGTATTAGGAGGACAGCAGCTGCCCTCCCAGCCCCAGCTCCCTGGGCCAAACCCATGTCAGCAGCTTTGTGGGATATCTTCAGGAGCAGAAAAGGCCAAGGAATAAATTCAACACAAGTCCAGAGTGAGGTCTTGTACGCCACCTTGGGCAACTCCTGCAGCCAAGCTGGTGCCAAACATATAGCTCTGCCTTCTTTGGACTGCATCACCTCAGCCAAAATGGGGAAAAGGGGGGTGCTTGCCATCTGGGCAGCCCAGGACTGCCCAGGCTTGTGCCCCAGAGAGGTCCCTTCAGTGCTGCTAATACAACAGAACCAACATTAAGAGTGGTTCTTTCTTGTGCATATCCCATTGCCTCAGCCTTATTATGCATCTGCTAGCTAGCGTGACATGAACAGAAGCAAATGGCAGAGGGGAGGTGTCTGCAGCTTCACTTATGAAATGTGGACGCACTCTTTATTCTACTGCAAATATATGTGCGTAATTGGTTCACTGGTGGACGAAGGTGGGGGCGGGGTTCGTTCCAGGTGCCATCTCTGGGGTGTGTGACAAAAAAAACAAACCCTTGCGGATCTTTGCAGCCGCGCTCCTTCCATGCCGGGCATCTCGTGCAACCCCGTCGGGTGGTGCTGGCACCCCCACTGGGCATTGCGTGCACCCACTGATCCCGCTTCCTTCCTATTCCCTTCCTTTCCTTCTCCGTTATTTACTCGCCTGCCTCCTTCCCGTGCTCTCCCCTGCCTGCCTGCTTGCCTGCCTGCCTGCCTGTGAAACCTCCCAGGACGCTCGCAGGCTGGCAGGCAGGGGAGAGGACAGGAAGGAGGCAGGTGAGTAAATAACGGAGGGGGAAGTGTAGGGGAGAGGAAGAAAGCAGGATTGGTGGGGGTGCACAGCTCCCTCCATGTCCCGCCCCCCCTCGGGAGAGTGCCCACCCTGGGCAGCACAGACATATGCTCTGCCACTGCATTGGTTTCATTAGGGCAGGATGCTGTGGCACAAAATCTGAGACCCTTCTCAGAATGTGGAGGAGGATCCTGTATGGGGGAAGGGGGGCAAAAAACAAAAAACCTCAAGAACAGGGGACCCAGCAAAGCGGATAATTGCTTACCAGACTTTGGGAAGGCGGTTGTTTGAGGGCTCTGGTAGCATCCCAGAGCCCTCCCATTTCCTTCCCAAGGCATGGTAAGCTTCAGAAAGCCAGGCACCTTGCTCTGCTGCAGTGCAATATTTGACAGCATGGCATGGCAGCAGTTTCTCTGCACGATGCATGCCTAACTGAGGTGGTGTACAATTAAAGAGATCCCCTTGAGGGCGGCAAAACAGGCTTCTCACAGGGTGCAATTTTATGAAACATTACAAAGCATGTCCATTTTGTGTAGTTTTTGGGGCACGCGAGGCCTCTCAGAGGGGTGCCAGAGCAATGCCACCCCCCATCCGAAAGCTGGAAGCTTACTTAGTGTCATGGTCCTGGGAAGGGGTAGGGGACAATTCCCCTCCCCAAACAATACAACCCCCCCCCTTAACTAATGGAGGTCCTTTCCCACCTAACACGAAGCCTGCCCACCTTACATAAATCCTAGCTACACCCCCGTAAGTGCTTGCCCAGTTTTTGGAAGGAGGGAGGGGCTCTGGGAAACCATATGCAAAGGCAGCTTTTCAGCTTGGAAGCCACATGGAGTCCTGTGGACAAATAAACTGAGGTCATTTTCTTCAGAGCTGAAAAAAAATTAAAATAAACCTGCCCCTGGTGTTTAAGCCTTTTTCTTCCCTTCTCCTCTTGTCTGTGTGTATTAGTGTTTCTGTGTCTCCTTTTGTCAGAGTATTCCTTTTTTTAATGCTTAGTAAAATAATTAAATTTTTAGGGAACTATCTCTCACCTTACCTTTGAATATCTATGCTTCTAATTACTTATACAGTGGTACCTCGCAAGACGAATGCCTCGCAAGACAAAAAACTCGCTAGACGAAAGGGTTTTTTGTTTTTTGAGCTGCTTTGCAAGACGATTTTCCCTATGGGCTTGCTTCGCAAGACGGAAACGTCTTGCAAGTTTGTTTCCTTTTTCTTAACACCATTAATACAGTTGCGACTTGACTTCGAGGAGCAACTCATAGAACGTGGTGTGGTAGCCTTTTTTGAAGTTTTTAAAGACTTTGGTGATTTTTGAAGCTTTTCCAAAACTTTCCCGACACTGTGCTTCGCAAGACGACAAAACTCGCGGAATGAATTAATTTCGTCTTGCAAGGCACCACTGTACAGCTTTAATCTTGGAGAAAATGTGCTAATATAAAAATAATCTCTAATATAAAATAACAGTTGTAAGTAAAAAATTGTCTGTTTTAGATGCTTAAGAAGTAGCACTTTGCAGTATATTACCCGGTATGCCTCTACTTACTTATATCCGTATTTCAGATATCATTTTACCTCGGTATACCATGATATTTAGCTGGGAAGATATCACAATGTTGAAAAACAGCTATAGCCCAGCCCTAGTTTCAGCCCTTTAATTTCTGACCATTTCATTTCATTTATGTAGGATGCTCATTTCAACTGGTCAATATACATGTCTGTTCAAGTAGCTGAACCTCATATATGATATAATACATGGCCCACATGACCTGCTCCACTTGTAGGGTATATTCTTCCTGAGGTACTTAATGCTGTTTGTTCATTATTTCTCTTCTAAGTTTTAATAGCACTATGCTATTTCAGTCCTTAAAGAATACCAGCTGCATCTGTAGTGGTGGTTCTCAGAATTGCATAAAGCCTGGAACAAAAGAGTATGATTGAATCTCTGGGCTTAATTGTGTTTCTTCTAATGGTGGTTTCTGAGAAATGAATTTGCTCTTCAGAAGTCGGCTTTTAGGGCTCCTGTTTTGCTACCTCAAGAGAGCCATTGCCTTACCTCAGTTAACCTCTTGTGTAGAGGGGGTTTGTGCAGCTACATCAATCCTTACCTGCTGCCATGGGCATAGCTAGCATTTATGCTGGGGGGGGGCAAAACCGACCTATCTGTGATGTAATTGCTCAGTTAGTCCGGCATATATATTTTTATTTGATTGATATAGGTGGGCAGCTGTCCCCCTGCACTTCCTTGGTTTTGCCTATGGCATCTGCCTTATGGGATTGCTTCTGGAAAAGAAAAGGTTAAGGAGTAAACCCTACACAATACCAGACTGGGATCCATAAGGTGATTGGATGGTGCCTTGTACATTTCCCTTCACGCCTACTTCAGGCAACATCTGCAGCCAATTTGGTGCCAATCATATAGCTCTGCTATCCTTTGGACCACAACCACACAACTAGAACTGTCCAGAATCCTTTAGTGCTGCTAATGCAACAGGAACCAACATTAAGTGTGGGTCTTTGTTGTTCATATTCCTTAGTCTTATTGTGCATCTGTTAGCCAGCACGACAAGAACAGAAGTGAGTGGCAAGGGGGGGAGAGGTGTCTGCAGCATCACTAATGAACCTAGACGCCACCCTTTATTTTGCTGCAAACATATGTGAGTCATTGGTTTTGTCAGGGCAGGATGCGGGGGGGGGGGGGGAGAATCTGAGGCCCCTGTCAGCTGAATGTGGACAAAGATCCTGTATGGGGGGGGGAGTGTGAAACTACCAGAACAGGGGGCCCCAGGAAGGTGGAGGTCTTCATACCGGATTTAGGGAAGGCGGTGGGAAGCCAGAGCCCTCCCATCTCCTTCCGAAAACATGATAAGGTTCCCAAAGCCTGGCGCCTTCCTTTTCCGCACTGTGCTGGCAGTTTCTCTGCACAAGTCGCCGCCAAGCTGAAGTGGCGCTCAGTTAAGAAGATACACTTCAGGGTGCCTATATAGGCTTCTCACAGGGATCCATTTTATGAAACATTACAAGGTCCTTCCATTTTGTATGGCTTTTGGAGCACTGTTGCCAGAACCCTGCCCGCCTGTCCCCCCCTTCTGAAAGCTGAAAGCCTAGTAAGTTATTGTTCAGCATTGGGAAGGAGGGAAGGGCTCTGGAAAGCTGCCAGAGCCCTGACACTTAAACCTTATGCAAAGGCAGCTTTTTGCCTTGGAAGCTGCTCCTAGTTCTTTTGAAAAGAAACCTGGGTCATTTACTTCAGAGCTGAAAGAAAAGAAACAAGGCTTCCTTTTTTTGTTTAAGCCTCTTTCTTCCACTCTTTGTGTTTCTTTTTTTCTTTGTGTTTGTTTGTTTTTCTCTCATGTCACAGAATTGGTTTTTTTCATGTTTAGTAATAGAATTAAATTTGTGGGAACCATCTCGCCTTTCCTTTGATATCTGTGGTACTAATTAATTCTACACCTTGAATTTTAGAGAAAATGTGCTAATTTAAAAATAATCTGTACTTCAGAATCACAGTTTTAACAAGACGTTAAACATAAGTCAATAATTTTATGTTTTGGTCCTCGAAACAATAGTAGTTAGGAGAAATCCACCCACTTCACCTCTATATACTTCCACCCATATTTCAGATAGCCTGTTATACTATATCAGCTTACAGCGATGTTTTGCTGATGACATAATCTATCATGATGTTGAATGCCAGACATGGCGCAGCCCTACTTGCAGCCATTTTATTTCTAACCTATGTTTATGTAGGATCCTCACTTCAGCCAGTCAATCTCCATGCCTTTTCCAGTAGCAGAAAATCTCATATATGATATCAATTGCCTGTCGGACGTGCTTCCATTGTAGGGCATATTCCCCCTGAGGTACTTATGGCTGTTTGTTGTCCATTATTTCTGTTCTCAGTATTAATAGTACTATGCTATTTCAGACTTTAAAATATCCCAGCTGCATCTCTAGAGGTGGAACCCATAATTGCATAGAACCTAGTACAAAAGCGTATGATGCAATCTCTGTGCTTAAATGTGGTTCTTCTAATGATGGTTTATGAGAAATGAAATTGCCCTTCACCATCCGGAAAAACTGGACTTATGGCAACCCTATTGTTTATCATGTAGAGGGGATTTGTGCAGAAGACAGAACAATATGGACCCACTGCCTTGTGGTATATCTTAAGGAGAAGAAAAGGCTAAGGAGTAAACCCTACACAAGTCCAGAGTGGAGCCCTAAGGTAGTTGTATTGAGCCTTGTATGCATCACCTTGCCAATAAAGGCCCGTATAGTTAAAGCTATGGTTTTCCCAGTAGTGATCTATGGAAGTGAGAGCTGGACCATACAGAAGGCTGATCGCTGAAGAATTGATGCTTTTGAGTTATGGTGCTGGAGGAGACTCCTGAGAGTCCCATGGACTGCAAGAAGATCAAACCTCTCCATTCTGAAGGAAATCAGCCCTGAGTGCTCACTGGAAGGACAGATCCTGAAGCTGAGACTCCAATATTTTGGCCACCTCATGAGAAGAGAAGACTCCTGGAAAAGACCCTGATGTTGGGAAAGATGGAGGGCACAAGGAGAAGGGGATGACAGAGGACGAGATGGTTGGATAGTGTTCTCAAAGCTACCAGCATGAGTTTGACCAAACTGTGGGAGGCAGTGGAAGACAGGAGTGCCTGGAGTGCTCTGGTCCATGGGGTCACGAAGAGTCGGCCACAACTAAATGACTAAACAACAACAACAACGAATGCCTAGTTCAGGCAACGCCTGCAGACAAGTTGGTGCCAAACATATAGCTCTGCATTCTTTGGGCTACATCAGTGCAGCCAGAGGTGGGGTCTTGTCATATGGGCAGCCCAGGATTGGCCAGGCTTGTGCCACAAAGAGATCCCTTCTGTGCTGCTAATGCAACAGAACCAACATTAAGGGTAGCTCCTCCTTTTTTTAAAACATGTTTTTATTAAAGTTTTCTTGGTTTACAAAAGAATGCGCAAT